TTTACGGCTTAGCTTAGGTTTTGGTTGTTGATCGTCTCGGCTCCGGCGAGGGCGATGCTGGTGAAGAATAAGAAAGCTTCAAATCCTTTCAAGACATGGCATACTGCTCTTTGGTGAGCGGTGAATCTGGGTGCTAGTTTGTTCAAGTGAGGATGGTGTGGCGGCGGTGGCATCCCTATAGCGGACTTGTGTTCTCGGGCTTTGCCGTTAAGACGACGTTCTCTCTAACATTGGCACGGAGCACAAGAGGTTGTTAAGAAGCGGGTACCGACGGTGTTCTCCATCGGCGGCGGCTGGAAGATGATGGATTCGTGGTTGAAGGTTGGTTGGTCAAGTTTCCTCCTTCGACGTCGTCACACAGAGGTGTCAGATCTGGAGTTCGATGGCATGTCCAGGTTGCTGCCCCAGCCAGATTGTTTCAACGGTAATGGTTTAAGTGAGCATGAATCTCACAAAAAATGTTTTTAACTTCAAACAAAATGAGGAGACTGTTGCATGATTTATTTTTGTCTCCACCACGTGCATTGAATAGAACACGGCGGGGATGCATACATGAGTTTAGACAATATTGTGTGTGCAAAAGTTTGCAGCAAAAAATTATAAGGATCTTGTCCCTCTTTTCAACATCAACAGAAGAACAGTGTGTTTAATAAAAAGATCTGCATGAACAGATCGGAGACTGAGCAAAAGGAAAACACTGTACAGAGATCTACGGTCTCAAGAACCTAAACCTGAAAAAAGAGAATATATAGAACCATGTATACATACTGGCAATCTATCTGAGTTCATGAGGGTGCGTGACTTTTTAGGTAAAAAGAAACCCCTTCCTTCCTAGGCGACGGGGAGGAATGTTGACGTATAAATGTATTGTCGAGTCTCTTTCATCATATCAGTCTTTTGATTGCATTGGGTAGAGCATGCACTTCTACGTGGTATCAAAGTCAAGAGGTCTTCAGTTCAAAACTTACCTGGAGCAATTAAAATTGCAGCCCACTTTTGGTCCACGTTTAGGTGTGAGGGAGCTACACGTAAGGGGGAGTGTTAACATATAAATACATTGACTAGTTTTTTTCCATCAGGTCGCATTGGCTTGGTCAGGAGAAGCCCTGTCGGCCTTGCTGGTTAGGATCCTAGCGCGGGACAGTGTCGCTGGGCAAGGGCACCGCATGGTGGCGTGACCAAGCACCCTCCAACGATTGCACACAGGCTCCTCAAGTGGCATGGCTAGTTCAGGCGAGGTGGGGGCGTCTCCTGCGTCGGGTCCTGCAGGTCAAGAGACCCTATATCTAGCGATGGGCGGCGGCGGGCGGCACGTATTGTAGCCTGTAGGTAGTGAAGGCCAGTGGCGGTCGCCGTCCAATGCGCGGTCGAGACCGGTGGTGAGGATGGAAGGCGGTGCATGCAGGCTCGGTTCCGGTTAGGTCCAGCTGGATCTGACAACGAACATCAAAGATCCACCGCCGCCGCAGTGCCGCACCACTACAAAGGCAACACCGAGCAACTAGGCCGACACATTTGAGATTGAGAAAGAAGTGACCAAACACTCTCCCTCTCGTCGCTCCCTGTGTCGCCTCCTCGGCGGCGCCGCGCCGACCCCCCTTCCCTCCGGCCGCTCGCGGGATCGACATGGCCTCGTCGACCGCTCTGCTCGCGCTCGCTGCTGGCTCAGGGCCGCTCAAGGAGTCGGGAAACTCCTCACCCACCCCGTTCTTGGATGCGCTGCTTTCGTCGCGTAAGGTTGCTGCGCCATCAAGATCTGCAGGCTCTGATGCGCCTTCAATGCCGCCCGCGGGGGAGGGAGCGCTGGCGAGGCGTCTCCAGTCCATCATCACTGCCCCGCGTGCGGATCCCACTCCCACGCTGCCTGTTGTGCCCATCCCCCCCGCTCGCATTGAAGATGGTGGGTGGACGATGGTTGGAAGGGGCAGGCGCCCCCCTTTTTACCAGCGACCACAGCAGCGTCCCAAGCCCAAAGCAAGCCAGTGGAAAGAGCTCCTGTTCAAGAAAGCTTGGGGGAAGTGCTGTCGGTGCTTGGAGCCTGACCACCGGATCGCCAAGTGCACTAACCGCTCCAGGTGCTTGCTGTGCGGCGGCGTAGGCCATAGAGCTAGGTGGTGCTCGCCTCAAGTCCAGCCACCGGCAGCTGCTTCGCAAGTCATCCTTCCCCCTCCGCCACCCGGCCCGCCGCCGCGCTCTGCTCTCCGTGCTCCCATGGAGGCGCCGGCATCTGACCCCGAGGTCCGGCGTGGGCTGGTCGTCGCGACGGCTCGCCGGACCGCTGGTCTCGCGAAGGCTCTCCAGGTGTGGTGTGGTGGCGATCATGGTGGGGACGCCAGCCCCGTTTGAGCTCCTCAACGTTAAGCGGGCCCTGGCGTTGCGCTTCCGCTTCCCTGAAGAGCAGGTCAAGGTGTCACTCCGGGCGCTTGGGGAGCTTCTCCTCGTCTTCGACGACGCGGCAGTCCGGGACATGGTGCTGGGGATCCAGGGGCCGCTGGTGCTCGGGCGCGTCTCCTTCATGATCGCGTCGTGGTCGCGTTTCCGGCGTGGTACGCCGGCGAAGCTGTTGTACAGGGCCAGGGTGTGCCTAGAAGGGGTTCCAGAGCATGCGTGGGATATCAGCAGTGTGGCCTCTTTGTTCGATCCCTCCATGCTGATCGAGGGGATTGACACAGAGGTGCGTCGGGAGTAGGAGACTGGATGCTTTCGCCTCTGGGTGTGGATGGACGCCATCGAGAAGCTCAAGACCAGGGGTGTCCTTCAATTGGAGGAGCCGAGGGAGATGGAGTCGCCAGGATCTCACTACCCTGAGCTGGGCATCTTCGAGGAACCATCACCACGTTGGGGACAGGTTGGGCTGCTGAGCCATCCAGTTCTCATCCATCTGGATCATGTGTTCGACTTCACCTGCCCGCCGGAGTCGAGCCCGGACAGTGCTCGTAGCAGTCACAGTGCGGTCAGCGGCATCCCTTCGGAGGATGGTGTGCCGCCGTCTTGGCCGGCCAGATGGGGTTACAGGTGGTTTCTAAGCTACGAAGATGGTGACTTTCCGCCGCCACCGCCGCGCGTCTCGGCGCACACCAGGCTTCGCTTCCCAAACGCGGGCACGGGCGGATCTGGAGGCAGTGGTGGAGGTGGTGGAAGTAGGCGCCGGTATGGGTACGGCGAGGGCCACCGGCTGGCGAGCGTGGGGTTGCATCAGGAAGCAGCCGGCAGAGGTGAACGTCGACATAGTGATCACGCCGGACAAGGGAGGCAGCACGCCGGGCGGCTGGAGGAGGACTTGCCTCCGCTGATTGACATTGCAACGGCGGGTTGTTCAAGGTCAGAAAGGGATCCGTTCATGAGATCAGATGAGACGCCTCCCATCCCCGGTCAGCTGGGAGCGATCTCTGCGGTCATGGGCCAGCTACAGCAAGAGAAATATGCAGAAGGGCAGTCCGACGTCAGGGAGGTTGTGCATGGCCTTCCTATTGAAAGTGTGATTACTGAGGAGCCAGGGACGCAGCGCCAGGAACCAGCTCAGCCTCGTGCAGGCGTGGAAGACCATGGCCAGAAGGGGCATCAAGCAGCAAGGGAAGCCTCCGATGAGGGCAACGTGCATGGCCTTTCTCATGCAAATCTGGCGATTGGTGCATGTGCCCCGCTAAAGGTGGGACCAGTGGGGCTGCTAGAGCCTATCCTAGCGAAAGGACTGGGTCAGGATCGAGCCAAGGTGAGCGGTGAGGTGGACGGGGGAGGGGAATCCTTTGAAGGCGTCTTTGGGCCGCACTCGCCTACAGCAAGCCCACAGGTTGGGCACCCTGAGCAGGGCCTGCCGGTGTTGGGCCTGGACAGCCACAAGGATGTAGATGCGGGCGGGGGAGAGGAAACCATCGACCACCTGAGCCGCT